GTGCTCATGTTTTTTTTATCTTTACATATAAAATTTTACCTTGTGCACATGTTTTGTAATTCAGATTTTATACACTGCCCATTACTCTAATCTCTAAACTGCTAATATATACTCCGCCTTTTAAGCAGATTTATAAATGCGAGAAATTTGAGAGATTAAAAGATAGCATTCAAGAACCTTCAGAATTGATGGAATATATTTTATATTTAAGTCTAATTTAGATTAATCAGTAGTTTATCATTATCATTATTCTGTATAAACTATTACATGATATATTTATTTATTACTGTTATATACTGTTATATACTGTTATATACTGTTATATACTGTTATATACTGTTATGTACTGTTATATACTGTTATGTACTGTTATGTACTGTTATGTACTGTTATGTACTGTTATGACGACATTATTTTCATTGTGCGTAAGTACGGCAAATTTTCATGCGACCTTTGTTTCCAAACTTAGTTATATTTAACAACAATTTGTAAAATATTCAAAATACTTAACAAATTGTAAATAATAAACTTGACAGCTTTTGCCACAGATACAGGCATTATGTCACAATTTTATGAAACATACGCACGTGATATTACATACATAGGCATGAACTTAACTTTATTAGTCATTTAGACCGAATCTTTCCGAGCTTTTGGGTGATGTGATACATCTCACATTCAAGAAAGGGTTCATTCTCCAATTTCTTTAAATCCATTTATGGAAGAAACTCATATATCCCGATTGAGTAAGATTTGATGACCTTAAAATGATTCTAAGCCTTATAATGATAAACGCAATTGTCCGATCATTATTTTCTCCAATAGGAGCATCATCTATTGTTACTTACTAAAGCTCACTACCCATCTTTTACTTTCATTGCCGCATCAATGAAGTGAAAAATAAACGCAATCGAGGGTAATGATGAGAAAAATAAGTGCAATCGAGGAATGGTGAGAAAAATGAGCACACTCTAGGTGCAAATTCACCATATGATTCATATGATTCAGTAATGCGTATGATTATGAAAAAAACATCAGTACTAACATAACATGTAAATTGACCCCGGATTTTCAAATAAAGTATATATTATTAAAAATTCTTGAATAATTTGTTTAGACGATAATATGTGATGACAAAATTTCACACTACTTTCATATGTCAAACAAAGTGATTATTTTATTACTATGCTTGAATTAACAAGCAAAGAGTTCGTAACACTAAATGTATTTTTAGAAGATTGGCGTGGTTAATTTGTGAAATCACGTTGTCATCAGTCACATGAACAAATAATAGTATGATGGTGATATTGTCACAACTTACAATTTTGTAGAACCTCGATTGTCTGTAAAACTTGTAAAACTTGTAAACTGTTAATAATAATAATAATAATAATAATTATATATAATAATTAATAATTCTACGTATAATTCTAATAATAATAATAGCAATAATAATAATAATTCTAATAATAATAATAATTCTAATAGTAATAATAATATCATAATAATAATAGATTATATATATACTGTATTATTATTATTCCTTATAATTATTATTATTCCTTATAGTTATTATTATTCTTAATAGTTATTATTATTCCTAATACTTATTATTATTCCTTATAATATACACTAAATACCTAAATTTAATACTATCCGATTAAATTTTTGATTGTATATAATTTTTAATTGTCATTTTTCTTTATATGCTATGCTAGACAAACTTTTTATTTGATTGTTTAGTTTCGACTCTTGAAAGGAGCTATTGTGACTCACCATTCCCTTTTTTCTTTTTTTCTTTTTGCTTTAACCATGGTTACAAATTTTGTACTTTTTATTCATATTACCCCGCATTCTTTTTTTCCAAATTAGGTCATGTTTCTCACGATATGAAAAAAAGTTGATGGCTTTTTGTAATTTTCTATATTTCTATGAAAACTCCTTTGGTACGGGTCCCGAACATAGCATTTATTCATATTTGGGTTTAAGCCATTTCAAATTTCCACGATCATATGGTTTTATAGATGACGTAGGTTATTATTTATTGTTATACGTACGTATGTATATATTTACTGATGAATATTTTGATGGATTATAATTTAACGTGGCAAAAGTTTAAAAAAGATTAAATTATTTAACAATCTATTGTTCTTAGCATAAACATAAAACACAAAATACAAATATGGATATACAAATATATAATATATATAGTAAAATAATAAAAGGCAACACCGGTAACCCGAGATGGATTGCAAAGTTTGTTGACTGTTTTGTTTATATTTGTTTTGTGTAACTATTTAATCAAAAACGATTTTTTTTCCTTGGCTAAGAGAAAAATATCTCCGGTAAAAAAAGGAAAATAGGTTTATATTACAATTGAATCATCGCAAACAATAAAAAAGATCGCTCAGAAAAAAAAATGATTATCGTCTAAATAATTAAAAAAATTTGTTTGTGGTTACTCATATTCAAAAAAGATAAAGAAAGATCTGATAAAAGGCAATTTTTATTTTTTTCTTCATGATCGTTTATATGAATTTCGTGTGCATCCTTGCATTATCCTTGAAGATTTGAATTCCGCTCTACTATATGCGTTTAAAAATTAAAAAAAATACACAATTAATAATTTATAATAAATAATATTTTTTTTTTATAATAAATTACTATATGTAGTTTCTTAATATCTTGTATTTTTTATTCTTTCTATATTCGGTAATCCTGTAAGATTCCTTCTATCAATAAGAATTCTGTATTTTACAAAAAAAAATTGTATTTCAGTTTCTAGAGATCTTGAATGAAGTCCCGAGTTTAAAAACCGATCGATCATTTAGAATCCCGATAATCCTTTGCCTTCTTAATCATCTCTTATTGATAATTTAATACAGTAGAATAAATCGTAACTCAATTTGCTTTCCCTTCAAAAAAAACAAAATCTAGCGGCTTGTGTTACAACATTTCTCAACGTTTGTCTTCTCATTAATTACGATTATATGAAATTGTTCATTAAGTAATTTTTATGTACAGTACATACTGTATGTATCTTTTTTTTTGGCATTTATATTGTTGAAATAACAGTTGATTATTATAGTTATTAGTCTAAAATAATTATAGATTGTATATATATATCTGTATATATTAGGTTTACGCCCAATGCTATTGTACTGTAAATTTCGATTTAAAAACCCCCAATTTAAGATTTAAACAACTCTAATTATTTTATATATATATACACATACAATTTTTCTTTTTTTTTTTTTTTTTTTTTTTAAAAAAAAAATTATATTATAATATACATATTTATATTTCGCCAAATTTTATAGAATTTAATCACTATGGCGTTTCGCGCGGGAGGTCTGTTTATGCCAAATATGAACAGCATCGTAAGGAACTCATTTGGTTATACGCCTACCGTCTTCGACGGAAAGGCCGACCAAATGTTAAAAGTGAGTGAGTATTTGGAAGAAAAAGGGTTTATTCCAAAAGAGCTTGTCAGGAACGAAGTAACCTGGTTTTATGGGTATGTTGAATTTTATACTAATATATCATTTCTTATGTAAATTCAAAATATTACCTCTTATCCTATCAATGACATTTTCTCATTATTTAACAGTAACCTCGGCATCGATGATACATATTTCAGTTTAGAAAGTGCGGAAACTATTGCAAATCATATTTTAGCCTTATACGGTGCTAAAATTTTTGCATTCACAAAAAATGAAAATGTTCTGGATATTAATCTCGAACGAGAAACTGAGGATACCTCCGTGTATATTCATACTTCTTGTCCTGGTGTCTCTCAATTACATGGTCCTCAATATGAAAGAAGGTAAGCTTTTACTCTTTTTCATCTTTCTTTTTTTTTTTTATATTTATGTCATGCATCGTATAATTTCGCAGATCGTTTTCGGTTTATAAATATATATCTTTCAAATTTAATAATCTTTCTTAATTCCTTCGATCCACTCTTAATTTTTAGAATTGATGAAAAATTTTTAGATGTTAGTACTACTACTAACGCTTATCGTCTAGAATCTTACCGTTCTCAAGGAAATGTTTCTTCCGGAATGGATACTCAACTTCGTTGTTATTTTGTGACAAAATGTGATTTCGTAAAAATTAATCCAACTCCAGAAGAACAAACTGATATTCGCCTTGTTGGTGATAAAACCTTTTTAGAAAAAGCCACTGATAATACTTTGGATATTTATCAAAATGTTATGAAAGCTGTTCTTCAAAGAACTGGTCCCGTTATCGAAATGTTTGAAGTCGAAGGAAGTCGTGAACGCCGTCTTGTTATTGGTTATAGGCAACGCAGTACACAATCTTTTTTCTCTGCTATGTCTGATCTTTACCATTTTTATGAACTCTATTCTACTAGAAAATATGTTGAACAATTTTCAAATGGAGTTACTGTCATGAGTCTTTATCTTAATCCTCTTCCTAATTCAAAATCTGCTCCAATTGAGCATACAATTCATCAAGTTATTAAAGAAGCTTCCTTAATTTACTGTTTACCTACAACTCCTTTACAATCTTTCTTTCAAACAAATAAATTATCTGTTCAGGAAGCTATTTATGGTTACATTGCTTGGCTATTTGCTCAACATTTCCTTAATCGTTTGGGTAGTGAATATACAAGCCTTGCTGCCGCTATGGACCCTAATGATCCTGTTCATATTGAAGTATTGAACAAAATTAAAAAAAGATTACGTTCTGATACTTTTACTCGTGAATACATTTTGGAAATTATAAAAATGTATCCTGATTTGATTCGTCTTCTTTATATCAACTTTGCTTTAACTCATTATGTTAATCCTCGTGGTGCTGCCCTTGAGTAAGTAAAAATATTTCTATTTTTTTATTTATTTTGTATTTCAATTTTGCTCAAATTGGTTTCTCTATAGACCAACTTTATCTTACCAACGTCTACAAACTGATGTTATCCTCTCTGATGATGAACTTTTGGATAAAATCAAGAAAACAACTTCTAATACCCATGAATTTATGGTGTTTGAATCTTTCTTAATCTTTAATAAGCATATCCTTAAAACAAACTTTTATCAACCTACGAAAGTCGCTTTATCTTTCCGCCTCGATCCTTCTTTCTTACCTGCTATTGAATATCCTACGAGATTATTCGGTATGTTCCTAGTTGTAGGTTCTGAATTCCGTGGTTTCCATTTAAGATTCCGTGATGTGGCTCGTGGTGGTATTCGTATCATTCGTTCCAGGAATAAGGAAACTTATAGTATCAATTTAAGATCTCTTTTTGATGAAAATTATGCTCTGGCTGCTACTCAACAAAGAAAAAATAAGGATATTCCTGAAGGTGGTTCAAAAGGTACTATTCTTTTGGATGTTAACCAACAGGATAAGGATCGTGTCGCTTTTGAGAAATATGTTGATAGTATTCTTGATCTTTTGATCGTCGGCAATTCGCCTGGAATTAAAGAGGTTAGTAATATAAATATTAAAATTTACTATTATTATTTATTATTATTATTGTTATATTGTTACTAACTTTTCGTTAATTCATACATAACTTACTTAGAAAATTGTTGATAATTATAATAAACCTGAAATTTTATTCTTTGGTCCTGATGAAGGAACCGCCACATTTGTTGATTGGGCTAGTTCTCATGCTCGAGCACGTGGTGCTCCATTCTGGAAAGCGTTTACCACCGGAAAAAGTCAATCAATGGGTGGTATTCCTCATGATCTTTACGGTATGACCACGCGTTCAGTTCACCAATATGTAGTAGGAATTTATAGAAAACGTGGACTTAAAGAAGCAAAGATTACCAAATTCCAAACTGGTGGTCCTGATGGTGATTTGGGTAGTAATGAAATTAAAATTTCAAAGGATCGTACTGTTGGTATGTTTTAACTATTTATATATACACATATATATATATATATATATATATATATATATATATATATATATATATATAACTATTATATATATAATTATTTGTTTGCATTCTATATCTAATATATTTATTTTATTAATTATTAGCCGTTGTTGATGGTAGCGGTGTATTATGTGATCCTGAGGGTATTGATCGTGTTGAATTAGGACGATTGGCCGAAAGTCGATTGATGATATCTCATTTTGATACATCAAAATTAACGCCAAAAGGATTTAGAGTATTAGTAGATCAACAAAATGTGAAATTGCCAAGTGAGTAATAGTATTTTAATATTTAAAAATATTAAATTTGCAATAATAATTTACTTATAACTTATTAATCTATAATTCTTTTTATAGATGGTCAAGTTGTAGAAGATGGTTTGATGTTCCGTAACAATTTCCATTTAACAACTAGTGTATCAGCTGATCTTTTTGTTCCCTGTGGTGGTAGACCTGAATCAGTTGATCTTAATAATGTTAATGCTTTACTTGACTTGAATGGTAAACCGAGATTTAAATATATTGTTGAAGGTGCCAATTTATTCTTTACACAAGAAGCTCGTATTCGTTTAGAGCAAGCTGGTGCTATAATTTTCAAAGATGCATCAGCAAACAAAGGTGGTGTCACATCTTCATCTTTAGAAGTATTGGCAGCTTTAGCATTGAATGACGAAGAATTCGCAAAGATCATGGTTGTAAAAGATGGTGTTGTTCCTCAGTTCTATCAAGAATATATAAAAGAAGTTCATCGAGTTATTGAGAAGAATGCAGAATTGGAATTCGAATGTATCTGGCGAGAGCATAGACGAACAAACAAACCACGATCGATAATTTCTGATGAACTCAGTCTTGCTATAGTTGAATTAAACGAAAATATGCAACAATCAATTCTATGGCAAAATGTATCTTTAAGAAAGACTGTATTAAGAGAAGCTTTCCCACAATTACTTCTTGATAGATTAGGGCTAGATAGTTTATTAGAAAGAATACCGGAATCATATGTACGAGCCATTTTTGGTTCATATTTGGCAAGTCGATTTGTATACAAATATGGCACACAACCATCACAATTTGCATTTTTTGAATTCATGAATCCCTTCTTTGCCAAAATTGATGATCATTATAGTTGATTTCGTAACAATGAAAAAACTTATCATTGTTAGCAAATACGACACGAATTATTTTTTTATTAATATTTTTAAAATACTTTCATTTTTTATTTTCAATAGGATTTTTTCAATTGTGGTTGTAGAATTCTCTTTTTGAGAATGAACAATTATTTATTTATTTGTTTTTTTTAAAGACAGAAAGTTTTTTGAAACTTACTATCATTTTCCATAATCACTACAAAATTTATTTATACTAGTCTGTAAAGGAGATGTTTATTTTGAAAAGAGTGAGAAATAGTGTAAACAATAATAACAAATTTTTGTGCATTTTAATCTAAAACTATCTATTATTATTGTTATTATATACAGCACTTTATATTTTATAATTCAAAAAACCAGATAAAAAATAAAAATTTAATACTTTTTATTAATACTGTGATTTAATCGTAATTAAATTATATTTTAAATTTTATACTGCATTTTATTGCCAAATTTTATTGTTGAAATGTTACGCGAGATGATTGAAAAGGTTTGAAATAAATATTTTATTAAAGATACGTACAATTTTAAAATTAATATTTATATATAATACAGTAAATGTGTATTTAATGTAAAATTAGAAGCTGAACATTTTTACTTAAGAGCATTACATTGATTTTCTTAATAAAATTGACATACAGTACTGTAGTTCAAATATATTTTGCAAAGTTATACTATACGTATACTGATTATTTTAACCCATGTAGTAATAATTTTATAATATATATATAATTATTTTTAAATCTATTTTATATTTGGATGAAATTCACCGGGGTGCTATATCTCAAAAACGTACTGGAAAGCATGTTTACAGAATAATTAATAAATATAAAAGATATAATTATAAAGCTATTTGTATATGTGAAAGAAAATTAAGATAAAAAAAAAAACTCGTACGTGTACGTATCAAGTTGACTGGGAAGTTGCCATTATATGGGCTAGGTGTGGAAAAAGGGACGAAATTGACAATTTTTTTAAAATAAATCAATTTAGAATATGATTAGGATCTTTTTTCACTTAAGAAACAAAAGTAGTTGTATTATCTAATAAAATTTTGTATTATAGCTCTTTTAAGTTTGTATTTTCTTAAGATTTATAAATTGATTTTCCGAAGAATTTTTTATCAACTTCGTTCCTTTTTCCAGCACGATATATAGACCGGAGCCATGAGTAAGGCCACTCCAGCACTCTGGTGATACTGGGGCTCGAACCCAGAGCTCAGGCCCCTATCTCATATTGGTATGTACAAGAGTAAATTTTTTTTTATAACATTCAGGAATATGTAAGTAAACAGAATCGGGTATTCTAAGTAAAAATGTTCAGGGCTCTCGAAAACCTCACGAGAACTGAAATCGGGACCTTATATCGAATCTACATATGTTATATAAAACTCCTCCTTTATCTTAAAACTGCTCTCTAACCCTAAAAATTCTTAGGCTGGTGAATTTCACCTCTGGGTAAATCTAAATTATTTCATTATAATGTAAAACTCTAAAACATTTAATATAATACCTTTTTGAGAGCTGAACTTTTTGACCAATTTTACATATAAAACATCTATATTTTTATATACCCATGTTAATAGATGTCTATGTCTATAGACAGTTCATATTCATGTCTATTAACAACACTAGGCTAGGGTACTCAACTTCTTTATTACAAGATTTCTATCAATATTTCAATCTAGCAATCTGTATTCAGGTCACATGTAATCCAGCAATATTGCATATTGACAAGGGTCAACAGATCGAAAAGACAGGGAGCACTGGGCAGGGGTTTACAGTAAGTACTCAACTTGGCCGGTTACCCGCATCATAAGATCAATCGGTGGTTAAAATTAACGTCAGATCAGATGTTCATGCTAGCCCGGTTACACGCATCAAAGGTCAGTATCAGTCGGTAAAAATGAAATCATCAACTACTCGAAAATTCATGCAAATTCAGAAAAGCTACCAAAATGTCAATATATAAAGGTCGTTGGAGAAAAAGCCAATTTCCACACACTCTTTCTCACAAGAACCAATTTATTTAACTTGCATTTTCTCGAATCAATTTTTTCTCAATTTTTCTTGATCAATTGTTTCGAAGTAACGATAATAATATCATAAACACAATAAAACAAACAAATAAAGATATTAGATAAACAATAAATAGTAGCCACAGTACACATATAGCTAATTGTATAGTTATAAAGCGACATTAACGTAGTCTATAGTTTCTCCTTATCTGATTATGAGCCATTCTGAGCCTGAGTTACATGACTTGGCAAAAGTGAAAAACAACCCTTCCCAACCTGTGACGACCACACCTGCTCCCAGCAGTACTACGGTGGGCCTCGGACATCAAAGGCCAGAATTTAACATTGATCCTTTTATAAAGTCATATATTGACAAGTCGATTTGAGCATCAACCTCATCGGTCGTTAACTCTATCAAACAATATATCGACCCTCAGTTCGACAGACAAAGGTTATAGATTGAGCAATTACAATCAAACATCAACAACATGCTTACCAAACTCACGCAATTAGAAAACAGCAACAGCATTTCATCCCGTGTATCAACTTCGACTAGCTATGCAATATCTCCACAGCACCCATATCGTCTGACAGACGCACCACAACCACGCGTGACAGAGCAGGCGATTCAGGACAACCAGACTACAGGTAATCACCCCCAACTCCAATTAATTATGGCAACATCGAGAGTGAGTTTGCAACTACAAAGCCCAGGAATATTGGCAAATCAGGCATCACCAATATGAGTAGTGGTGAAATTGCCCATACTCAAATCAGTGTCAAGGAAATACCCATCCATCGATTATGTGCAGTTCAATCAAATATGTGAAATCCAAAACTTTTCAAACCCATATGCTACAAGAACCGAGAGTATATATATTTGGTGGGTCACCAACTGGCAACAGGGAAAGCAAATCATTGAGAGCCTCCCGTATAAGCCCAACATTTCAGTCAAGCTATGGAAGACAGTAGAGTTCAGCTCGTATGTGAATTTACAAGAATTTTCATACAAAAAACTCCTAATCACCATGAAGGAAACTGAGGATGAACCTGTGTTGCAGTCGACAGATAGGGGCTCTATTTCAATTAAGAAATGCTCATGCTACACAGCATTTGCAGATATATTAGAGTGGCTTCTTGCTTTCAAGACGTATATAGACATGGTCCTAATAATTTATAAGAACTAGGAACAAGAGTTGAACGGTTATAGAGATCACATCAACAAATTATGCTTGCGGCAAGGCTTTCATGCAGTTATGGCATACAATGAGGACCGCAGAGTGACAGCAGTTACAAACCAAGATTCAACCCTCTTTAATCGAGATACTGAAATTGAGAGGTGGAATTTCGATGCAACTACAGTTAAGAAACAGAAGACAAATGTATATCGACCCACAAGATTAGATACCGAGTGGCTCGATGGAAGAGAAATCTGTATTAACTGGAACAGACGCTCTTGCAAAGATGAGAAACTTTGCGGAAGAGTCCATGGCTGCTTAATATATAGGAAAACGAACTACAATAAGCAACGTTGTTTTAGAAAAAGCAACTCAAAGAAGCACAATGTACCTAACGGCAGAAAGTCCACACAGCAATGATGCTCTATTAATGCTTCCTATGAAGCCACACAACAGCAATATACACATATGAATTAACGATTGTTATCATATATATACAAAAAAAAAAAAACGTAAAGAAGAAGGGGCAAACACATACCGTACCGCAGATCTTCGTTTACTAAGTTCTAGCTCTGGTATATCAATATGTGCATATGTCAGTAGTTATGGAACACATAAAAGACATATATACATATGGATTCCAATACAAATATTATGCATATATAATAATTGTCAAGGTGCAAAAAAAAAAAATTCTGGCCCTGGCATGTCGATGCGTACATATGTCAGTAGCTATGGAACACATAAAAAACATATATACATATAAATTCCAATACAGATATTATGCATATATAATAATTGTCAAGGTGCAAAAAAAAAAAGAAAGAGAGAATGATTTACTGAACGGGTATTCGTCAAAGCACATCCACAGTTTTCGATCTTACTCATGATAGTATAAATATTCTCCACAATAAGGACTAACTTATTCATGTTTTTTCAGTCACTAAGCTTCATACCAGGCACCCATCACAGTTCAAGCTTGCCTGTGGTATTACTTTGCACGAGCCATCTGGCTTTCAATCAGCCGATAACATAGTGATGGCAATCCTGCTATGCAACAGGCCTCTCACTTCCATTGAGCCCAGATCCTAGAACAGTTCAATCCCGAGATTTTTAATATCTTTACACCTATCAATATCAAGGCCTTTACGCATCTGATGGCCAGTCACCATAATCAGCCATTTGTCACTTATTTGACGGATGGGTTTAAAAACGGTTTTCATTTTAACTTTATAGGACAAAGGTCAACTATCACCCAAAAGAACTTGAACTTAATAAAGATCGACCCACATTCCTTTTCAAAATACATACAGGACAAGATAGCACAAGGCCATATGTGTGGCCCGTTCTCCCCATACCAGCCCCCTTGTCAACTTTTTCAGGTAAATCTTTGCGGGCTGGTGGAAAAGAAAGATACCGACTCTAAAGTGTACAGAGTAATTTCACACCTATCAGCCCCTTTTGGTGCCAGCATCAACGATGAGATTGACCAGATTGAGTTTAGTATGCAGTACAAAAATGTTAGTCATGCGATTCATTGAATTACGCATTATGACAACGGATGCTGCCTGTCGAAGGTCGACATAAGGGAAGTGTACAGGATCATTTCAGTCCACCCTGTCGACTAAGTGCTACAGGGGATAACCCACAATAACTAGCTATATTTTGATAAAGTGTTGGCTTTTGGCAACCGGGTCTCGGGCGGCATATTTTGTAGGTTTGCCGACATGCTAACTTGGATTGCGGTGCAACAGAGTATTCGGTCTATCATCCACTACGTGGATGAT